ATCTTCGAGATCTTGGGCTACTGGGCCTTTGGCAGGGTCTTCTGCAATATCTGGGCGGCAGTGGACGTCCTGTGCTGCACTGCGTCCATCATGGGCCTCTGCATCATCTCCATTGACCGCTACATCGGCGTGAGCTACCCGCTGCGCTACCCGACCATCGTCACCCAGAGGAGGGGCGTCAGGGCTCTGCTCTGCGTCTGGGCGCTTTCCCTGGTCATCTCCATCGGGCCCCTGTTTGGCTGGAGGCAGCCGGCCCCCGACGATGAGACCATCTGCCAGATCAACGAGGAGCCCGGCTACGTGCTCTTCTCGGCGCTGGGTTCCTTCTACGTGCCGCTGGCCATCATCCTGGTCATGTACTGCCGGGTCTACGTGGTGGCCAAGAGGGAGAGCAGGGGCCTCAAGTCCGGCCTCAAGACCGACAAGTCCGACTCGGAGCAAGTGACGCTTCGCATACACCGGAAAAATGTCGCGGCAGGAGGCGGCGGAATGAGCAGCGCCAAGAACAAGACGCACTTTTCGGTGAGGCTCCTCAAGTTTTCCCGGGAGAAGAAAGCGGCCAAAACGCTGGGCATCGTGGTCGGCTGCTTCGTGCTCTGCTGGCTGCCCTTCTTCCTGGTGATGCCYATCGGTAAGTGTTCAGGACGCCTGGGCGTGGGGTTCAGTGGCCTTCACCCTCTTCCTCTTCTGTGACCCAAGATCACAGTCCCTAGTGGAAGAGGGGTCTGCGTCTCTCTCTGTCAGCCAGGGCATTGGGGAAGGCTTTCTGGTAGAAGCTGAACGTTCATTCTCTTTCTACTCCAATCTCCTTTACACTGGGTCCCAGGGCACTTTTCAACTACTGTAAAGTGGCTTCCAACCGGTGCAGATTAATTGGTCTCCATAATAAGAATGTCAACTTCCTTAATGCCTTTAAGTATGTGTTTAATTTAAATCTGTCCGCCCTCTTTGGTGTCTCGGAGTCTCCGAGGAGTACTTAGGCTGACTGTCAAGACAGGGAGTGCAAATTCTCTTGGCCTGAAAATAAGCACCATGCTTATTTTAGACAAATGTGCCATTGTATTATTGCATTAGATTGTTCCTAGGGGTTATAATGGTCTGCTTATTATGTTGTATATGTGTGTTAATTTTATTTTCTGGATCAAGTATGAAAGGAAATATGGGAAACTTCTAACAACAAAAATGGGTTTATGTCTAAACCAACTTAAACCTTAAAGAGTGTTTTTCAATAATTGAAAATCATAACGTTTTCAATAAGTAAATACTTCTACCTTTATTTTGATATTTTATTTTGATAGCAAATATTAAACCAGACACCACTTATATCCA